AACAATCTACAACTAGGCAGCAGTGTTAGATGGTGCAAGAAAATTCTGAGCATCACCAAAATCTATATAATTTGTGAAAGCTCCTCAGTTCTCAAAACATTTGGACATATTCACAACCCTCAAGGCCTCCAAATTATCAACAAATCAAACAAAAGAATTAAAAAGTCTAGAGCCAACAAATATAGTGATCTCATCACCTTTAGAATTAAATTACTCTCAGGAACTCTCCCCACTAGAGAAAATCTTTACATATTATACCCAGGAAAATATCCTGATCCATATTGTCCCCGGTGTAGCTTACGTACTGAGGATATCCAACATGTCTTCAAATGCCCTTCAGCATCAGAAGATATTAACCAACTCATCATTACCATTAACAATATTTTCCACCTTGACGGCAACTACAAACCTATCTTACATGCCTGGCAATTAGTAGAGCTGGCGTGTGGCATTATAGACAATATCTTCTTCACAACTAATTTCTCCAACTGGATCGAAGCTTCAACCGAAACCTTAGCCCATCTATACAAATCAATTTGGATACCTCGTTGTGCTACAGCAAACACCTCCCCTCTTACCGGCATTAAATGGGACAATAACCATTATAACAGTCCAAAACAAACAACCAAAAATTTAGCCAAGACCAAAATACCCAATAACAATTCCACATCAACATCAACTACTATAGACGCATCTACCATCATAGCGGACTCATACATCCAAAGCAGATTCAACTTCACTAAATGTATTCTAAAATTAATTTCAGATTTCTCTAACCTTCTTCTACCTAATGCTGAATAGGTAATCATAGCTGCTCGGAACCACCTGATGAGATATATTGTTTTAAAAATTTCTTTTCAATATTAGTCTAGTAGTTACTGTAGGCAAGCTAGCATTTAACTTATTGTACTAATACATATGAGAGATGTTGTTTCTTTCGCAATGTATATTTATCATTATACAAATAAATAAAGAAATGATGTTTACCTACAAAAAAAAAAAAAAAAAAAAAAATTTTTGTAACACACTATATAAAATTATAAATTAAAAAATACAGTGATTAAAATTAATTTATTATGTTAGACTTTATAAAATATAAATAATTAATAAAATTAATTAGGTATTTGATTTAAAATAATTAGAATTTCATTTCTTACACCATATAAATTTAAACATGCAAGATGCATTTGTCCGTGTGGCTTAAACAAAACATGGCCTTTAAGTAGACTAATGCCAAAATAACATTTATCACAAAATTACGCAATATGAAATATGATGCAAAGTTTGTGTTAGAATAATGGTGTATTTGAAACGTTTAAAACCCGTCAACTTTAATAAATATTGTGGAAGTCTTATGCAGTAGTATTTTAAAACTGAAACTCTGGAACGTGACATGACACGTATCCAATCAGATGACCTATCAAGTCACGTTTACAAATTGAGTAATTGCATAAATACATAAATGATGTGCAATGTTTTTTTTCCTGACGCGCCTTGGTATTACTAGTATGTTTATTTTTTTTAATAATATAATTTTTTTTAGATCTGGATAATGTGGGTTGGAGCTAATGATCCATTTTTTTTGGCATATGCAAACCAGTATTTTCTTGTTTATTTCGTTAATCGATTATATTATTTATAACTCGTAAACGCAAATTAATAGTATTAAAGAACACTTGAAGTAGAAGCCATGACACCCTCACCTTCATCACCAGTTCTTTCGTCCGAATCACCAATGGCTAGGGCATTGAACTTGACCGAGGTCCTCGAAAATGTGATTTCTCATATAGACAAATACGATGTAAAAACCCAACATTCCGCCTTACTTGTGAATCGCAAGTGGTGCAAAATCGCCAGCCCATATCTTTGGAGCACGCCATTTTCCTATAATATCTCTGACAAACGACTTTGCAAGATTATACCAATCTACCTATCATTCGTATCATCAGATGTAATTGATTACCTAGCGAAAAACGATGTGAAAATGTTGACAGAAAATGGACGAGGAAATAAAAATACTTGCAGGACTTTTGATTATCCAAAATTCATGAGATCGTTGAACGTAGATTTTTTGGCTGATGCAGTCATTCAGTGGTTGCAGGAGCAGAATGTTGCAGTATACGAAACAGAAAGCGACAGTAGTTGTGGGGATGAGTCCTCGGATGATGAAGGTATATCATGCTACGACAGCTCAGATTTCGGACTCGATAGTAGTGATGACGAGATTGAATACGAGGAAGACGACGACAACAACGACGATATCTATTTAGCTGCCCTAGAAATTAACGATGACGATGACGACGACGACGACAATGATTCTGATGATGATGACGACGACGATGACGATGATGATGATAATGACGACGATGATGAGGATGATGATAATGACGACGATGATGAGGATGATAGCGATGATGACATCGCAAATGAAATTCAAGAACTTAATGGAGAGTACAGTTCCGTAACTTCTGAAGATATCACCGACGAAACAAGCTCGGACGAAGATAGCGATTATGACACCAGTTTGTATGAAGATCAAAATTTAAGCCTTGATCGTAAGAATAATCCGGAAATATACGAGATTGATGAATACTTGGTGTCAGAGTTGTGCAAACTTTTCATGAATAAATCTCGAAAAATATTGGAACTTAGTATTGTAGACCTTTCTATCGACGGAACATTCATAAACAAAATTCCGAGCTATCCTGGTAATTCATGCTTGTCTCATCTCGAAATATTAGAATTTGATGGATCTTTTTGCAACAGAACTTTTGTTATCGGTTTAGCCAGCCTTTGCAAAAATCTTACTACAATTGTGGTTGACGATATGGACGAAGATACTCCGTTCGTTGAAGAACTATCAACTTTAATTAGGAACCAGTCGTGCCTTTTAAATTTTAGTTTGTCCGATATTCCCTTGGACATGTCGAAGGTGATAACAGCCCTTGATTCCCAAGTTGATTCTCTTAAGAACATTGTTATTAGAGATGTATTGATTTGTGATAAAGAATCTATCAAAGCATTGTCTCATTGTGTTAACGTAGAATCCATTGATCTTTCATTTGAAGATAAAAAGTATTACAAGTCGTTCACTGCTCTATGGTATAGCACCTTCCCGAAGCTCAAACAATTGGGAATTTCAATGTACTATACATGGCAGGATCCGCTGTTTATCGAAAACACCAAGGCGTTTCTCGAACTTAACGGAAAACATCTATATGGAATCAATCTATGTCTTACGACCACCATCTATACCTCAATTCTTCAAGGTATTGGCGTATATTGCCCGAAACTCTCAGCTCTTGAAATCAATAGGATCTATGATGGAGTGGGCCATCTTATCGAATTATTGAAAATGCCGTTACCATTAAAGAAAATTGTAGTCGAATATAATAAATCAAAACTTCATCAGGCTAATGGTGCACTACCACCTCTAAGGGATTTGAAAGCACTTGAAAATCTAACTCATTTTGAAATCGGATGGATCTTTTCGGCTAGATTCCTGGAAGAAATACTGAAAGGTTGGGAAGCGCCAATTCAGAAATTCTCGTATTGCAGCGAAGACGAATTTGAGGCTCACAAAAAAATTCTAAACGAGTTTGTGGAAAGAATCAGTTCAAAATATGTGATTAAAGATCATAATGTAACTTCTAGCCCATTTCAACGGATAGACCGAAATGGTTCGATCTTGAAAAAGTGTAGAATTGCATTGTTTGTTCAATATTAGAAAAAGTAATAGTGAAATTAGGTATGTCTCGTTCGGTCATTTCATGCTTCAATCTTTTTCTAATAGACTCATATTACTGAATATTATTAAGCGTACCTTTGGATATTCAAATAAAGTGTGCGTTTTACTCTCGCTATTACAGCATCTGAGATAAATGAAATGGTGTGCAATGAATTCTAAAACAAAAAAAAAAAAACTTTATTTTTACCTCGCGATATTTTAAAAGGTGATGGGATTTGTCAAATAGAGTTATTATCTCAATAAATTAATGCAATGGTTTTAAGATCTTTGAAAAATATTTTAATGGAAACCTAATGAATGATTTTTTAAAAAATCTTTGGTTGGTTATCGTTATACTCGTCTACCTTAAAGTTGCATTTCGGGGAAACCGTCACAGGCAAGATACAAACAGTTTTTTAAATACAATATTCAATAATGATCTGTGATATAAACACGTTTATCTATTTAATTTAAATAGTATGTATACGTAAGTAAACGAATGTTTAAAAATAACGAAATGTTACATGTACGTGGAGCATTGATAAACAAATTCAAAATCAAAATAAAATTCGAATTTTGATTTTTTTAAATTATTTTATGCTATTAAAAATTTAAGTTATAAATTATTATAAATTATCAAAAATTACATTTTCTTCATGTTTTTATATACTAGTTTTTATAAATCTATAAATTTATTTTTTAAAAATAAAAATTATAAAAAAATGTTTTTAAAGCAATCAAATATTTATTATATGTAAATTTATTGTTCAAACTATAATAATAAATTTTGTTTTTTTTCAAATTATCTACAAAAATTGAAAGGAAAAATTATTAAAATAATTTTCATGCAAAAATTTGTTAAGTAAATCCAAAAAAAAAAATCTTTTTATCAAACAAAATTATATAAAATAAGAAAAACATGATTTTTTTTTAATACATACTAGCATATACAGTATATAAAATGAAATTGTATTTTTTTATTTATAATTTTTTTCAAACTTCAAATTATTGATTTAAAATAAAATTATTGCAAATAACATTAATATACAGTGTAAGACATTTGCTTTTGAAAAAATTTAATTTAATTTAATATAAAAATTGTAATTATATATTTTTAAACATTTAAAAAATTATTTAAAAGTTTAAAAAAACTGTTTGAAAGTTAATTATAAAATTTGCATAAAGTATTTATAAATACTTCAAATTGAACTACAGTATGGAACACTTGCTTTTGGAAAAATTTAATTGATTATAATTTAATAAAAAATTTTATTAATATAATATAAAAATTTAATCATATATTTTTTAAACATTTAAAAATCATTTATTAAAGTTTATTTAATAATTTATTAATAAATTTATTACAAAATTTTGTTTTAAAGTTAAAAAAAAAATTCATTATAAAATTTATATATATTTTATAGACGAAAAAAAATTATTTTTATTATAACAAATATTTTTAAAAAATAATTAAAAATTAAAAAAAAAAAATTTTTTTAATATATAAAAATTTTATAAAATATTATTTATAATGTTTAAATAATATAATTAAAATTATTTTATAATTTATATTTTTAAAATTAATTTTTAAAATTTTTTTAAATTTATAAAAATCTAGTTTTAATATAAATTTTTCAAAATTTCTTATTTTTAAATTAAATTTTAAAAATTTTTAATTAAATTATTTTTATAAAAATTTTTTTAATTAATAAAATTACAATTTTATAAATTCATACATTTTTATTTAATGATTTTATATATTAAGTTTATTTTAAATTATTTTTATTATTTAGTTTTTATAATCTTTTT